CCCATAGTCCAGATAATACAAGTTTACCACGCATCAAAGTAGTACAAGCGTAGTAGAAGTAATAAGCAATAAAATATAGCAGCAAACGTGTGACTAGCCTAACAGCAGGGTGAGCAGGGGTAAGGTTGCGTCAAGGTAAAGGCCATCATGAAATCATACTACCATGCAAGTCCTATCATAGTGTGATCATATCAATAAAGTAAAGCACTAGCATTTCTATTTTAGCCATGCGTAATAGTTGCTACGAGATTGGGTGGGATGTGGCACCTTCAGTGTAGTCGTCTCCATACTCCTCACGGTACTCACGATCCTCGTCCGTCCGGTTCTCCTCCGAGTCTACAAACGATCGCATTATAGTCGCGTTAGCGACGTCTATAGAATGGCACAAAGAAGCAATGAAAATTCAAAAGAGCCAAATACACTCAAACATGGGTTCATTACGTAGAGCTTGATTTTAGATGAATTTTGGTCCTGGTTTCGTATTTTTCTGAGGTCATATGAATTAGTTATGAATTTCTGAAGTTTAAATCATTTCTGAAAATGAAAAAGGCTGAATTAATCCTGGGCTGACACGTGTCACGCTGTGACTAGTCAGCATGACGTCAGCATCTCGGTTCTGAGCTGACAGGTGGGGTCCAGCTGACGTCAGCATGACGTCATCACCGTCATCAGTTCCGACAGGTGGGTCCAGGGGCTCTTGGGTCACTGACATGTGGGTCCGTTCAAAGTCAACATCAAGTCAACGGGCGAGTCAACGGTCAACGGTCAGGGTCACTGACGTGTGGGGCCAGGGCTGCTGACGTCAGCAGCTGATGTCAGCATGACGTCACCCCGGCTGTGTTGGCTTCTGACGTGTGGGTCCCGCGTGACGTTAGCATGACGTCACTATCTGACGTGTGGGTCCAGAGTGTCTGTGCCGCTGACATGTGGGGCCAGGTCAACCGCCAACGTTGACCGGTCAACGGTCAACACGGACTAGGTCTCAAACGAGCTCTGGCGGCTTCAGGTTGGGCCGGTCTGGGCCGGGCCGGCCCGGACACGTGGCATGCTGTGATGCAGCCACGTCACGACCTTGGGCCTTCGCTGGGCTTCGTCCACAGTTCGGCCCATACCGCGTGGCTCACGGTGGACCTGTGTTCATGGTCCATGGACAGTAGGCTGGGTCCTCGGTGGACCGAGTCCACCCTTCCTTCCTTCTGCATGGTCTACGTGCACCGAGTGCAGGCGCGTGCGGCCGGCGAGGGAAGCCCTCTGTTTCCATCCCTGGCGTGCTCCTGCCGGTGGTGTGCTCACCGGCGTGATCCTACGGCGGTGCTGGCGTCAAATTACGGTGGGGAAAAGCTTCGTCAGGTCTCGGCGATTACGATGGTGGGGTCTAGATGGTGGCCAGAGCTTCCTAGGACCTTGGCCACGGTGATCGGCGGCTCGAGCACGGCGGCATACAGGGGTGGTGCGGTGGCAGCGGCAAAAGCCGGACATGTGATGCGCGTGAGCATCGCGGTGCTCCAGCGGGCTCGTCGGGCAGGTCGAGGGGACTTTAGAGCCTCCGGTGGTTTTGGCCACGGTGGCGGCTTGATTCGGCCATGGCGGCGGTCCGGTGGTGAACGGCGCAGGCACGCAGGAGCACTACGGAGCGCCGGTGGGGCGGTCTTGGCGTGGTCACGGATGTGTGCGTGAGTGCGTGTGTACCCAGAGGCCGGAGACGGCCTTGGCCTACGCGCTCCCGATGTGGAGCGCCATGGCCGAAACGGCGAGGTCTAGCGGCGAGCAGGGGAAAGACCGGGGCTCACTGTTGGTGTCGTGGGAGATAGGATGGCGGTGCAGTGGCGGGTTGTGGCCGTGTAGCTCCGGAAGCAGTGTAGTGTAGTGCAGCGTCGTGGCGTCGTCTCCTGCTCCGGCGGCTTCGGAGGTGTTCCGATGGCGCCTCCTTCTCCCTCCTCCCTCTCCCTTCCTTCTTCCTCTCCCTTCTCTGGCTCAGGTGTGCAGTGGACAGCCACAAAGTGGTGGCGGGGCGATGAGAAAGCGCTAGGGGCTCCCGGGGCCGGGGCTTTTATAGCCGAGCTCCAAGCTCCAATGGCGGACGGCTGGTGATGCGCCGTTGGCATCGAACGGCATCGCGGGCGTAGGTGGTTGGCGCGGAGGTTGCGTGGGCGCGGCACCAAGGGGGAGACAGGGTCATGCTCCCAGCGTGACCCCTAGCCCGCACCTACCACCCTGGTCGGGGCTTGGTCGGAGAAGGAATCGGCGTGGGGAGGAAGACGATCCTGTGGCTGGGAGTGGCTGACGCGCGGGGCCCGGGTCGCAGCGGCTGCAAGTGAAGCAGGGAGGCGTGTGGGCGTGAGCAGCGCGCCGGGCTGCTTGCTGGGTTGGCCACGCGAGTTCGGCCGGCCTGCTGCTGCGCGCGCAAGCTGGGCTGGCTGGTTGCTGCGCGCCAGCGGGCTGAGCGGGCCGAGCCAGCTGCGGGCCTTCTTCCCTTCTTTTTCCTTTTTCTATTTTATTTTTCTTCTCCTTTGTTTAAATTCCAATTTGGTTTGAAATTTGAATTCAAAATTAGTGTACCATAGTCATTGTAGTATTAGATATGAGGCCCACAATATTCTTTTATATATATATATTATGAATTTATTTAGCTATTTTGTATAACAAAAATAAGTGTAGTTTTGTTATACAAAAATGGAAATAGTTTTCTCTTTATACATTTATCCTTTAGTTTGAATAATAACTACTTTATGGTTTATTTCTTTAAAGGTGTTGTTAGGCATTACATAAAACAAATGAAAATCCAAATCACTATTTGAGTTGACAATGTATGCTATGTTTCATTTGTCAGTATTTAAATAAACATGATAACAAATGACATGCCATGCTCATGAAATTGTCTAGTTGGGTTACTTCTAATGCAACACTTAGGGTTGGCTCCTACAATGTCACTCATCATCACATGGGATTTTGAAGAAAAAATTTTATAATTGTAATTTTTAGTGTGAGGATTTTTGAGTTGTTACAATACACGCATCCAGGAAAAAGCGGATACGAGTCTTGTCCAAAGTACAAAAACAGGATCAGATTTCTGGTCCAAAGCATGGACTTGGGAAAGCAATACAGGACACATCTGTTTGTCAATTGGGATAAAGCCGCACGGAATGCATGCTGACCAGAATCTGAACCTTGAAATGCATTTTCACGAACCAAATCACACGCTAGTAGGCCATACGCGTGCACCAACCATGCATACATGCAACGAGCACGGCATCCCACCGCAGCAACAACCAGCAGCATACGGCGAAGCGCGCTCGCTTTATTCGTGCTGCAATGTACGTGTGTTCATAGCATCTCGAGTTCACACGGCTGCTCCGGTTTACATTGTGTCAATTTCAATGTGCTCACAGAGATAGTGTATATACGTGTGTGTGTGTTCATAAAGATAGGTTCACGTACATATATACATGTAAGCGTCTATGTATGTATTGTAATTCATAAAAAAATATAGTAATTCACGTATGCATATATACATTGGTTCTTGGGTTCAAGCACACGTGTGGCAACGATGAAAAACTTTCGACGGGCAATGATTTTACCGATAAGTTGATAGGCTCTCGTCGCCTGGGGGTTCGTCAGTCGCCATCGTCATGCTTCATAGGATCCTGCAGGCCGACTGCTGAGTAGTCGGAAAGCAATGGCTGTAGTGCTGCAGGTGAGCTGGTTCAGCACCAGCAAGCAAGCAAGCAGAGAGAGACGGAGAGTAGAAGATTTAGGGGAGGAAGATGACGTGGCAAGCCTGACCATTGTTTTCGTAACCATAATCTTGCCCTGTGGCGGAGCCAGAAGCTTTTAGGAAGTAATATTTATTATAAAAAATATTTACCTAGCAAATTACAATGTTCTTCTTTAATACAAAGAAATTTTTTCTTTTAAATTTCATCGACAAGCTCGGCTGGGCAGTGCCTTTGCTATCGGCTGTGCCACGTCATCAAAACCACCTAGACATGATGCCACCCCTAAACCGGTTTTGGTTTAGAACAAAAACGTGAAAAGCAATCTTTTGATTTTTTTTTTTGAGAGAGTTAAGTAGACGATTTCATAGTTTTTTTTATAAGAGACGATTTCGTTGAGTGTTACTTGAACCGACGCTAATTTGGACCTATTCCAATAGCATACCCGGTAACAACTGAATGGTGTGGCTGCCAAAGAAACCGTTTTTTTTTTTTTTTTGCACCAGACACAAGACATTATAGCAGCCTCCTCTCAAGTGGACAGGGCTGCTTCGATTTTCACCATCTTGATTATATATATAATTGATAGATTTATAGATAACGTAGTATACTGCAAAATGGCAGCCGACACCCGAGGTCAACTAAAGCAGAAGAAACAAGAGCAAAATATTGAAGCGGTTCATGCACACGTGAGCACCGCATTTTGGTCAATGAAACAGTTGATGAAGATGAAATGACAACTGCTGGAAAAGTCTATCATGCTGCTTGGGGACCCAAATTGGCCACAACAGCACTGAAGAGTAGCTGCATTAAGTAAAGACTAAAATAATGAATATTTGTATATTAAATTATTAATATGAGATCGAATCACCATCTAAAGTTATGCATATACTGCAACGAATCAATAATCACATAATCAATGGGTGGGTGTGTACCAAAGCAGCCTTTTATTTGCGCAGAAGGTTTGGACTTTTTCATAGATTATCACACATATACCAGGCTGGCTCATCCAAAACGTGAAGGTCTGACCGTGTGAATCAGCCGGGAACCTGTGTGGATGTGTGCCCAGTTGCCCACAGCAACCATGCAGTACTTGACCCAATTTTCATTTCCTGCGGCTGCAAGCCTGCAACAGATAAACAGATCAGAATCAAACTGGGGGCTGCTTGTTGTCTCTTCTTACCTCTTCTTCCTCCTCGCGCTCTTTCCTCACTGGGCATCGTCATCCAGTCAGCAGCATCAGATACAAGCACCTGCTTTGATGCTAGTTTCATTCATCACGAAGCCATGCAGCAGCAGCCACCAGCGCATCCCTCATGCGAGAAGTACATCAAAGGATTTCTCAAACCTTTCTTAGGCCTCGCGCTTGCGCTTTTGCTATTCGCCTTTCTCCCACCCACAAGCTCGTGCTCGGAGCAGGAGAGGAGCTCCCTCCTTCAGTTCCTCACTGGGCTCTCGCAGGACGGCGGCCTCGCTTTGTCGTGGCAGAATGGCACAGACTGCTGCGCATGGGAAGGGGTAGGCTGCGGCATGGATGGGACAGTCACTGATGTCTCCCTTGCTTCGAAGGGCCTTGAGGGGCACATCTCAGTGTCCCTGGGTGAGCTCACCGGCCTGCTGCGCCTCAACCTGTCACACAACTTGCTGTCCGGTGGCCTGCCGATGGAACTGATGTCGTCCAACAGCATCGTTGTCCTCGATGTCAGCTTCAACCGTCTCAATGGAGGCCTGCGTGAGCTACCTTCATCAACCCCTCCCCGTCCTCTGCAGGTACTGAATATCTCCACCAACTTGTTTACAGGACAGTTTCCATCAACTACATGGGAGGTGATGACCAGTTTGGTTGCACTCAATGCCAGCAACAATAGTTTTACCGGACAGATACCAAGTCATCTCTGCAGTAGCTCACCAGCCTTAGCTGTAATTGCACTCTGTTATAACCAATTCAGTGGCCTCATTCCTCCTGGGCTTGGTAACTGCTCCATGCTCAAGGTGCTCAAGGCTGGCCACAATGCTCTCAGTGGGTCACTCCCTGATGAACTCTTCAATGCTACATCATTAGAGTACCTCTCTTTTCCTAACAACGGTTTGCATGGAATGCTTGATAGTGAACACATTACCAACCTCAGAAATCTGGCTCACCTTGATCTTGGAGGTAATAGGCTAAATGGAAACATCCCAGATTCCATAGGTCAGCTCAAGAGATTAGAGGAACTCCATTTGAACAACAACATGATGTCTGGGGAGTTGCCATCAACTCTAAGCAATTGCACAAATCTCATAACAATTGACCTCAAGGTCAACAACTTCAGCGGAGAGCTTCAGAAGGTTAACTTCTTCAACCTGCCCAATCTGAAAACATTGGATCTTCTATACAACAACTTCACCGGCACAGTTCCTGAAAGCATCTACTCATGCAGCAAACTGAATGCATTGCGGCTTTCGAACAACAACTTACATGGGCAGCTTTCACCAAGAATAGCCAATTTGAAGCATCTTGTTTTCCTGTCACTAGTTTCCAACAATTTTACAAATATCACAAATACGCTTCAGATCCTCAAGAATTGTAGGAATCTCACCTCCCTACTTATTGGAAGCAACTTCAAGGGTGAGGACATGCCAGAAGATGAAACAATTGATGGTTTTCAGAATCTTCAGGTTCTTTCATTGTCTAATTGCTCATTGTCTGGGAAAATACCTCTTTGGCTATCTGAGCTCAAAAATTTGCAGGTGCTGCTTTTGCACACAAATCAACTCAGTGGGCCAATACCTGCCTGGATCAAAAGCTTAAAATCACTTTTCCATCTAGACATATCAAGTAACAAGCTTACAGGGGAAATACCAACAGCCTTAATGGAGATGCCGATGCTAACAACAGAAAAGACTGCAACCCATTTGGATCCAAGAGTATTTGAGCTACCTGTTTATAAAAACCCATCACTCCAGTACCGGATAACTAGTGCTCTTCCAAAGCTGCTGAAACTTGGTTACAATAACTTCACTGGTGTGATTCCCCAAGAGATAGGTCAGTTGAAATCACTCGCTGTACTCAATTTCAGATCGAACAACTTATCAGGAAAAATACCACTGGAACTCTGCAACTTAACAAATCTGCAAGTGCTAGACTTGTCTAACAACCATCTCAGCGGTGCAATCCCATCAGCATTGAACAATCTACACTTCCTCTCTGCATTGAATATTTCTTACAATAACCTGGAAGGGCCTATTCCGAACGGAGGCCAATTCAGTACATTCTTGAATAATAGCTTTGAAGGGAATCCAAAGTTGTGTGGCCCTATCCTCCTTCGCAGTTGTAGCTCAGCAGTCGCACCAACAGTCTCAACAAAGCAACACAGTAGGAAAGCTATTTTTGGGATTGCATTTGGTGTGTTCTTTGGAGTTGTTCTTATTTTGCTTCTGGTATATCTCGCTGCCTCATTCAAGTGTAAAAGTTTGATAAACAAAAGCAAGACCTGTAATAACGAAGATGTAGAAGCAACTTCATACATGTCTGATTCAGAACAGTCATTAGTGATAGTGCCAAGAGGAGAAAGCGAAGAAAACAAGCTCAAATTCGCTGACATTGTGAAGGCCACAAATAACTTCCACCAGGGAAACATCATAGGCTGTGGAGGCTATGGTCTAGTCTACAAGGCTATATTACCTGATGGGACCAAGCTGGCCATCAAGAAGCTTAATGGTGAAATGTGGACCATGGAAAGGGAATTCAAGGCAGAGGTTGAAGCACTCTCCATGGCCCAGCACGAGAATCTTGTGCCACTCTGGGGTTACTGCATACAGGGAGATTCAAGGCTCCTCATATATTCCTACATGGAGAACGGCAACCTGGATGATTGGCTTCACAACATAGATGACGACGCCAGCACATTTCTCGATTGGCCGATGCGGCTCAAAATTGCACAAGGGGCAAGCCGAGGCCTTTCTTATATCCATGATGTCTGCAAGCCTCACATTGTCCACCGTGACATAAAGTCCAGTAACATCCTACTTGACAAAGAATTCAAGGCTTATGTTGCAGATTTTGGGCTCTCAAGATTAGTCCTTGCAAACAAAACTCATGTCACGACTGAGCTAGTTGGCACTCTGGGCTACATCCCACCTGAGTATGGGCAAGGATGGGTTGCGACGTTGAGAGGTGATATGTACAGTTTTGGAGTAGTTCTACTTGAGCTGCTCACAGGAAGGCGACCTGTTACGGGCTTGTCTTTATCAAAAGAACTTGTAAAGTGGGTGCAGGAGATGAAATCAGAAGGGAAGCAGATTGAGGTCCTCGATCCACATATACGAGGCATGGGGCATGACGAGCAAATGCTGAAGGTTCTTGAAATTGCCTGCAGGTGTGTCGACCATAATGCGTGCATGAGGCCAACCGTACTGGAAGTAGTCTCATGCCTTGACAGTATAGACCCCAACCTCAGGATGCAAAATTCAGTTAGGATATAATGCAGTTAAACGTGATTCGCTTGTAGCCCATTGTAAGCTGCATAAATGTAGCTTCCCACAAAACTACTATTCCTGACAACCTCATAATTATTTTTGTACAGCTTCCGACATATTGACATTTTAGGTATTCTTTTGTAATTCGTTGATTGTCCTTTTTCCATTTTCCCAAATTATGTTGTAGCATGAGAAACAAAGAACGAAAATCTATGATACGTTATGCTCATCTTCAGCATTGGTATTTGGGAAAGTCACACCAAAGAAGAATTGGATAGAAGAATGGAATTCAGGAGCCAATTGCAATAGTGCAAGGGCAAAATTAATTTATGCATTACTGACTGCTATACTAGTGTTAACTCAAGGCACTAAGAGGGGTACTCCCATATGCATCATATTCTGCTAAAATGGGGAAGGACCGCTATATCACCAGTTTAATCATGTAAATACCGTACAACAGGTAGCGAAGTAAGGAAAACAAGGAGTAGACAACTATGAAACAGTTAGTTTTTCTTTTAAGAAAAGCAAAGAAGATCAGTAGAGCTAACCACCAACAAGTTCTCACACCGCCCTCTTACGTCTGCATTTCTGCAGCAACCACCACACCTCTTCTTGGTTTTATACTTAAACGGTTAAACCCCAATGCCCACATGGGCGTTCGATTTGGGCAGGTTAATCCATCACTGATGCACGGAGAACCAATCCGCGACTGGAAAATAGAGAAGAGACACTGCCTCCAACACAGTAACACGACGCACCGCGGAATGGGCGAACAAGCTACGAACACGCATGGGTGCCGGTTTAAGGAGCCAACCGGGGTGGGGGAGGTGCGGAGGCCAGACTAACCCTTGCAGCGGCTGCGGGCGGATGCTCGGCGGAGAAACCGAGGCGCCGCCGTGCGCCGTCGCCGGCTCCGGTCAGGAGTTGTGGCCTCTGGAAGCCGTTCTATTGCAGGAAAGAGCCAAAAGATCATGGGCTCATAATAGGCCTGGCACCCCGGCGGCCCAGACCAGGACGAAGCCCAGGTTAATAATACTAACAGGTCAACAGAATTTCCACTCAAAAAAAAAAAACAAGTCAACAGAATTGCCGCTGTCAGTTTCTTTCTTTTCCTTTTTCAGTTGAGTATAACAATTCCTTTGATTTTTTTTAAATTCATTTCATAGAAAACTCCATAATAATTTGATAGTCCGTTCCCGCAGTTCAAAGGCATAAAATTCTTTTCATAGGATTTGATGCCTTTCACAAAAATTCCAGTAGGGGATTATCATTATTTAGGGTCGTAGTTTAATTTTGCAGAAGTCACTTTCCGATTGGTTCAGTAACAGTAACACTAGTTGCGAATGCCAATTAAATAAATGACTCATAAATGAACAATAGGGAAATTTTGCAGAATATGAATATCAGCTACTAGCACCGAATTAAGACAGTCAATTCCCTAAAAAAACTACAGCCAACTCCCTAAAAATCTAGGGCAGCCAAGTAACAAAAATATAGATTGAAAAGTACAACATCAATTACTCCACCAACTTCCAAACAAAATTATATCTATAAATATACAAAAACATAGCCGCCAGAAAACAAATCCATGTAACATCTTCTGCTCGAAGCTGTTGTCCCCAAAAAGAACTGACAAACCCTGAGAGACACATAAACATAAAACAAGTGTGAGCTTCTAGGTCCCTTAAGTGGAGTCTTAAAAACAAAATAATTATTTTTTAGGCGCTAAAAATGCCTCTCTCTATTGGCATAGAAGAAATTACAAGCAAAAACTTGGGAGGCTACCTGAGAGGCATAGAAGAAATTATCTTTGAAGAGGTGCAGACCCGATTCTGCATGTATCCTACAGAGTGGACAGATCCTTTGATTTGGCCAGTTCCGGGCTTCCAATCTGTTAGCGATCTAGATTCAATTCTAAATGGCAAGCCAGCTAAAGAATTTACATTTAGGCAGCGCCCACGGTTTCCATATAATGGTTTCGAAGTTGCGTGTTGCGCCTATGAACTGGGGGCATGGTAAGCCTGTTAGATTGATCTCCTGACTAATAAGCCCAACGGCCTATTGGGCCTTGGTCTCGCGCCCTGATCGGGGGCGCCCTACCCTACATGGTTGGTGGGCCCCCGTCGCACTGCGCTATATAAAGAGGTGGGGGCCGGCGGCTCAATGTACGAGGATCGCCGTGAGCCGCAAACCCCACCGACAAACCCTAAACCGATCTCGAGAGGGCGCAGACCCGGCCGACGGAAGCTCACCGATCCTCGTCGTCGCCATCGCTACGCCTTCACCGCACCGCATCGACGTCCGTGCAACCTCTACTCCACCCGTCATTGCCTGCAGTGTCTTTGCCTCCATCACCGAACCGCGATGGCTAGCACAACCGCGACATCATCTGGAGGCTCAGGTTCATCACCACCCCTCTCCCCTATCTCCCTCTCGGTTGTAGTGTTCTAGGTCTAAATGTGCATGTGTTTCATGGATCTATGAGTTCATCCGCCTAGATCTACTCTAGTCGATCCAAAGAAAGTTTACAATGGTACCAGAGCCTATTAGCACGTAGATCTAGAACGGGTACTGATTAGAAAAGGAAAAGTTGATTAGATCCAATGTGGATCTAAGCGCAAAAGGGTCACCCGATGTTCGGGCTTGAACCCTAACTCGATCCGTCGGATCCGAGAAAAAGAAGAAGGGCTCGGTTTTCATGCAAAGAACGAACCCTAAAACCCGAAGGTGATTCGGGAAAAGAAAACAATGGCCGCCTCAACCCTAACCCTAACCCTAATCACAAATCGGGCTAAAATCCGAACAAATGAATCAAAGAAAGGGAAGAGGGTGGTTTCGGTCACCTCGCCGCGAAAGCACGCCGACGCTGGGGAAAAGAAAAAAGGAAAGGAACCGATTTCAAATCGGAAAACCAAACCCTAACCCTAAAAGGAAGCCTACCTGGGCTTCTACCCACCGCCGGCAGCATCGCCACCGCGCGGATAGGAGACCGCGGCGTCGCTCCCGAACGGCGCGCGGGACAGGGCCGAGATCCGCACTGCACCTCGCCAAGCGGTCACGGCAATGGCACCACCTGCGACCCCTCGGACGGCGGCGTGCTCACCTCGGCGAGCACGCACGCCGAGAGAGGGCGCTGGATTTGCCGCCGCCTTCTTCTCCCTCGCCACCGAGGACGGATGTCACTGCTGGTCTCTCAGAGCTACCAAGCTGTGAGAGAGAAGGAGAGGAAGTGAAATGAACCTAGGGTTCGGGAGAGAGGCTGGCCAAGGGCGGTTTTGTTCGGGCGAAACTTGCGGCAACCGTTGAATTGGATGGAGATGGACGGTCACGGTGATCGGGCAGCCAGCAGCAGACCTAAGCGGGGATAGGGCACAAGGCCGAAATCCGCCCAGCCAAAGTGCGGCTCAAGCGCTGGGGAGAGAGAGCCTTGGTGGCGGGGGCTCTGCTGAGAGCCGCGGATGGGCATGCTCTTCAGCTGGGTGTTACTGCATGTGCGTGCTGGTGAGTTGCGAGCCGTGGGCATGCGTGTCTTTGGCGGGCAAAAAATGGTCAAATGAATGATATATTGTCACGCTTTTTGTTTTCTTATTTTCCGAGAAACAGGTTGATCAATTTGAATTGATTTTTTATGATAATTTTCTGTACAAAATTTATCCAACGATATTTTTTGTTCAGTAAATAGTAAATTTGCTTCTGGAAAATAGGAAAAGATTATTAAATGTTAAAGTTTCCGCTGCGTATTTAAAGATGTAATTTTCATTATTAAATTCGAACCAACGGGAGAATTTAATTTTGAAAATGGATATGTTTTAAATTGATTATAATATTGTTGTTATTCTGACCAACGTTGATTAATGGTAATATTATAATGTTTTTGTCATACATTAATTCTATTTCTGCCCAACGGTGATGTAGAATTAGTGTAGAAAATAATTGTATGTTTTAATTTTGACCAACGTTAAACTAAGGCATGCAATTATTGTTGTTATTTCTGTTCTCACCCTATTTGAATTATAGCCAGGGAGGATACAACTTGATGAGTTGTATCAAAGAAATCCCCACTCTAAAAGGTGATAACTATATTGAGTGGAAGAAAAAGATAGACCTGACCTTTATCCTCGCTGAGGTGGACTGGGTTGTCACCACACCGTGCCCTAAAGAACCTGAGGCACCGGTAAGGGAAACATATGAGACTGATACTGCATGGCAGAACAGAGAGCGGGATTTTGCTCCCGTAAAGATGTCCTATGACCTTGAGCATAGGAAATGGGTCACTGCCAATAAGAAGTGTCAGCGTTGATAAAGAACACGATTGAGCTCATATAGTGGGCTCAATTCCAGATCAGACACGGTCACAGAGTACCTAGACAGAATAAAGAGTCAGTTCACTCGCTCTTCTTCAAAGATATATGCAACCCAAATGATCAAGCAACCGGTCACGAAAAGGTACTCGGTGGCGGCGGTGGCATTAGAGAGCACATAATGAGAATGAGCAATCGGCATCTAAGCTCAAACCAATGGATTTGGCACTCAAGGATGAGTTTCTTATTCATTTGATTTTTGCTTCTTTGCCCAAAGAATTTGACACATTTGTTGTTAATTACAACATACAAATGAAAAATGGGATTTGGAAAAGCTCATAGCCATGTGTGTGCAGGGAGGAGGAAAGAATAAAAGTTTCACAAGGTGGTTCTGTCAACTACCTAAAAGATAAGAAAAAGAACTATAATAACAGCTTCTTCCTCCAAATCATCTCGAAAAGGTCCCATGCAACAGCCTCCTCGTAACCAAAGAATTCCCGGTGGCTAAAGACCGGTGTCTCCATCAGCAAGAAGACAGGACATTATAAAAAGAATTGTCCTGATTTCTTAAAGATGATTATGAAGAATAAAGGTGAGAACATTATTACGTCAGAATGAATCCTTGTATGTAAAGTTTTCAAAATCTACTTGGTGGATTGATTCAAAAATAACTATTCATGTTGCTAATTCATTACTGGATTCCGT